TCACTAGGTCCCCCCGTGTGGTTCTGGGATTTTTGCTCACCGTTCTTGTGATCATTTTGACCCCACGGGATGAGATCTTGCATGGAGCCCCAGATCGAGGGAGATTATCAGTGGTCTTGTATGTCTTCCATTTCCTAATAATTGCTCCCACAGTTGATTTCTTCAAACCAAGCTGCGTACCTATTGCAGATTCAGTCTTCCCAGCCTGGTGCAGGTCTACAATTTTGTTTCTGGTGTCCTTTGACAGCTCTTTGGTCTTGGCCATAGTGGAGTTTGGAGTGTGACTGTTTGAGGTTGTGGACAGGTGTCTTTTATACTGATAACAAGTTCAAACAGGTGCCATTAATACAGGTAACGAGTGGAGGACAGAGGAGCCTCTTAAAGAAGAAGTTACAGGTCTGTGAGAGCCAGACATCTTGCTTGTTTGTAGGTGACCAAATACTTATTTTCCACCATAATATGCAAATAAATTCATAAAAAATCATGCAATGTGATTTTCTGGATTTTTTTTCCTCAATTTGTCTGTCATAGTTGACGTGTACCTATGATGAAAATTACAGGCTTCTCTCATCTTTTTAAGTCGGAGAACTTGCACAATTGGTGGCTGACTAAATACACTCGTCCCCCCCCCCCCCCCCCCCCCACACTGTACGTCATTTGTTATGTAAGGAAAGGGAAAGGGGGATACCTTGTCAGTTGTACAACTGAATGCATTCAACTGTACAGTCTTGGTCAAAAGTTTTGAGAATGACACAAATATTAATTTTCACAAAGTCTGCTGCCTCAGTTTTTATGATGGCAATTTGCATATACTCCAGAATGTAATGAAGAGTGATCAGATTAACTGCAATTAATTGCAAAGTCCCTCTTTGCCATGAAAATTAACTTAATCCCCCAATAAACTTTCCACTGCATTACAGCCCTGCCACAAAAGGACCAGCTGACATCATGTCAGTTATTCTCTCGTTAACACAGGTGAGAATGTTGACGAGGACAAGGCTGGAGATCACTCTGTCATGCTGATTGAGTTAGAATAACAGACTGGAAGCTTTAAAATGAGGGTGGTGCTTGAAATCACTGTTCTTCCTCTGTTAACCATGGTTACCTGGAAGGAAACACGTGCCGTCATCATTGCTTTGCACAAAAAGGGCTTCACAAGCAAGAATATTGCTGCTAGTAAGATTAAACCTAAATCAACCATTTATCGGATCATCAAGAACTTCAAGGAGAGAGGTTCAATTGTTGTGAAGAAGGCTTCAGGGTGCCCAAGAAAGTCCAGCAAGCGCCAGAACCGTCTCCCAAAGTTGATTCAGCTGCGGGATCGGGGCACCACCAGTGCAGAGCTTGCTCAGGAATGGCAGCAGGCAGGTGTGAGTGCATCTGCACGCACAGTGAGGCGAAGACTTTTGGAGGATAGCCTGGTGTCAAGAAGGGCAGCGAGGAAGCCAATTCTCTCCAGGAAAAACATCAGGGACAGATTGATATTCTGCAAAAGGTACAGGGATTGGACTGCTGAGGACTGGGGTAAAGTCATTTTCTCTGATGAATCCCCTTTCCGATTGTTTGGAGCATCCAGAAAAAAGCTTGTCTGGAGAAGACAAGGTGAGCGCTACCATCAGTCCTGTGTCATGCCAACAGTAAAGCATCCTGAGACCATTCATGTGTGGGGTTGCTTCTCAGCCAAGGGAGTGGGCTCACTCCTAATTTTGCCTAAGAACACAGCCATGAATAAAGAATGGTACCAACACATCCTCCGAGAGCAACTTCTCCCAACCATCCAAGAACAGTTTGGTGACGAACAATGCCTTTTCCAGCATGATGGAGCACCTTGCCATAAGGCAAAAGTGATAACTAAGTGGCTCGGGGAACAAAACATCGAAATTCTGGGTCCATGGCCAGGAAACTCCCCAGACCTTAATCCCATTGAGAACTTGTGGTTGATCCTCAAGAGGCGGCTGGACAAACAAAAACCCAAAAATTCTGACAAACTCCAAGCATTGATTAAATAAAAAATGTTATATGCCATTTAGCAGACGCTTTTATCCGAAGCGACTTACAGTCATGCGTGCATAAATTTTTGTGTATGGAAGAATGGGCTGCCATCAGTCAGGATGTGGCCCATAAGTTAATTGACAGCATGCCAGGGCGGATTGCAGAGGTCTTGAAAAAGAAGGGTCAACACTGCAAATATTGACTCTTTGCATAAACTTAATGTAATTGTCAATAAAAGCCTTTGACACTTATGGAATGCTTGTAATTATACTTCAGTATACCATAGTAACATCTAACAAAAATGTGAAGACCAAAACTTGTGTCATTCTCAAAACTTTTGACCACGACTGTATATGCATCAATAGTTTAAATTAGTTGCATTTTGACAGATAAACAGATGTGACCAGTCCAACCTGCTTTGCCACTGTTCATATCATGTCATTTGAGCCACACTGTGATCGTACCAGACTATTACCTGCATGGCCATGAGTATTGATATAGAGTTGGTACCCCCTTTGCTGCTATAACAGCCTCCACTCTTCTGGGAAGGCTTTCCACTAGATGTTAGAACATTGCTGCGGGGACTTGCTTCCATTCAGCCACAAGAGCATTAGTGAGGTCGGGCACTGATGTTGGACAATTAGGCCTGGCTCGCAGTCGGCGTTCCAATTCATCCCAAAGGTGTTCGATGGGGTTGAGGTCAGGGCTCTGTGTAGGCCAGTCAAGTTCTTCCACAACAATCTTGACAAACCATTTCTGTATGGACCTCACTCTGTGCATGGGGGCATTGTCATGCTGAAACAGGCAAGGGCCTTCCCCAAACTGTTCCTACAAAGTTGGAAACACAGAATTGTCTAGAATGTCATTGTATGCTGTAATGTTAAGATTTCCCTTCACTAGAACTAAGGGGCCTAGCCCGAACCATGAAAAACAGCCCCAGACCATTATTCCTCCTCCACCAAACTTTACAGTTGGCACTATGCATTCGGGCAGGTAGCATTCTCCTGGCATCTGCCAAACCCAGTCCGTCGGACTGCCAGATGGTGAAGTGTGATTCATCACTCCAGAGAACGCGTTTCCACTGCTCCAATGGCGGCGCGCTTTACACCACTCCAGCCGACGCTTAGCACTGCGCATGGTGATCTTAGGCTTGTGTGCAGCTGCTCGGCCATGGAAACCCATTTCATGAAGCTCCCGATAAACAGTTGTTCTGACGTTGCTTCCAGAGGCAGTTTGGAACTCGGTAATGAGTGTTGCAACCGAGGACAGACATTTCTTCCGCGCTACGCGCTTCAGCGATCCTGTTCTGTGAGCTTGGGTGGCCTACCACTTCATAGCTGAGCCGTTATTGCTCCTAGACATTTCCACTTCACAATAACAGCACTTACAGTTGACCGGGGCAGCTTTAGCATGGCAGAAATTTGACGTGTTGGAACGGTGGCATCCTATGACAGTGGCACGTTGAAAGTTACTGAGCTCTTCAGTAAGGCCATTCTACTGCCAATGTTTGTCTATGGAGATTGCATGGCTTTGTGCTCCATTTTATACACCTGTCAGCAACAGGTGTGGCTGAAATTGCTGAATCCACAAATCTCCCCTCATATAAAGATTATTTTGTTTAGATTCATTAAATGGAGCGATGTGGAATTGAAATAGGCTCCGTCCGCTCTTTAATTTTGGTTATCTTCATTTTCCCCCTGGTCTCATTTGTAGTCCTTTGTATACTGCACCTCCTCCAGCTGCCATATGAAGATACAGACAATAGTACAGGGACACTGAGAGGATATTATATATGGCTGAGTCCCAAATGGCACCCTATTCCCTACATAGTGCATTAATTTTGACCAGAGCCCTATGTGCCCTGGTCAAAAGTAGTGCACTATATAGGGAATATGGTGATTCAAAATGTTTGGAATCTGCTCCTGTTCCTAATCTGGGCTATGAGGGGGTAAAGTGTGGGTCAGGTCAGTCTGTTGCATAAGGGAATTTCCATCGAAAAGCACCTATGAGCACCAACATGTGAAGTTCATAGGAGCATATCAAATTGGGTGTCAAACGAAAGCTAAGAGTCTATAATTATGGGAAATGAAGGCATAGATACATTTTTCAACCATTTAAAGAGAAGCATCCCAGTTAGCTGATGACCACCACATAATGCTAAACTGTGTCTAGAAAGGACTGGAGCACTAATGGTCTGTCACCGTCTATTTTACGGAGCCTAGTGTTTGAAGACAGACGTCTTCTAAGGCAACAGTATCATCACCATGGTGAAAAGAAAGTTGCCTGGATATGTGCTCTTCTCTTCTCATGCCTAGGATGGTCTTTAAGTGTCAGGTTGCTACCTTTGATCAACTAAGATTGGCCTAAGGGTTAACTTTAGGGGATTATGTCTAATTAAATAATTTATTTCCAAAATGCTATATCCACCAATGTTTTACGAGTTTTTTTCAATATAAATTATTGTTTATTAGATAATTTATTCATACATTTTAGATGTGTATGAGAATGAGTTTTTTTGCAAATCGCTATGTATTCATTGTTTAGCTAGAATGGAATGTTCGTATCCTGTATATTTTACTGTGATATGTGGTTGTCTCACCTGGTTATCTAAAGATGAAAGCACTTACTGTAAGTCACTCTGGATAAGAGCATCTGATAAATGACTTAAATGTCAAATGTTTTACATACAGATCTCATATTACTGTATTGAAAAAAAAATACATGATTGTCTCTCTGAAATGAAACCATCAAGTGATAGATTTTAAACAAATACAGTACGTCTGTCATTGAACAACCCCATGCCATAATTAGATAGTGAAAAAACACACCAATATATTTAATAATTTCTTTAAAACAATAAAAGCTAATATATCAGCATTTCTGAAAATGGATATATAGCATTTTGGAATGAAACTCTTCAATTATAGGCAACAGCTAGTTACGCTAATGGAATATTTATCTGTAGACATTTCTCATGATGTTGTGTGTTTGTCTTTCTTGGTTTTCAGATTTGGATACATGTCTGTGTCCATTTATTGTTGTGCACCACATTTGGAGTCCATTCAACTGAATTTGGAAACGCTGTAACAGATGACATCACAAGCATTTCACTATTGGTAAGGTCCTCGGAAGTACTTACTTCTTCAAGCCACCAAAACTGCAAATCAAAGCTCTTTGGCTAATGCTCTTATTGTATTTAGCTGTCTCGATCCAGTTACTGCCAGTATGGTGTTTTATTCTCAACCAGGGATCCTTTCAAAATCAACCATTAGGCTTATGCGTAACATTGTCGCAATGACAGTTGCACACAATTCATTTGTAAACTTTATATTTTGATACATTCATCCATTTAGATTCAGTCATTGTTTCCTAATACCACGTATCCTAATGGGGATTGTAATGAGAGTCTCACACAGTAGGACTTCCTGCATTAGCATTAGTGTTGTCACGATACCAGAATTTTGACTTTGATACCGATACCAGGTTTAATATCACGATACGCGATACCATCACGATACTCGATACCAAAACAATACCACGGCAAAAAAGGCGTATTAGCCAAAGTCACAGAATGGCACTTGATCCAGACAGATAAACTCAGCTACTGCTCTGTTGGATAGTTGGGCATCATTTGAGTTCAATATCATTACATTTGAAATTTGATGTCAACTTTTTTCAGAGACAGCCATGTATGCATTAATGAATCAATTATAAAATCATACAATTAATTTGGCTTTGTTTCTACCAATCTAACTACATAACGGTAATAATTTATTTGAATGGTAAATCTCTATTGATAAAATGGGGAAATCAAGATGTAGCCTAGGCGATCTATTCACAATACAGGTGAATGCATATTCAATAGGACTGTGTGCATGCAATGACTTTTGAGCTTGTTTCCGCTGCTTTCATAAGGCTACAGATGACAAACAATCTGTTTCCCTTCCATTTTCATAGAAGTAGCAATCTCTTCTTTTATAAAAGTGCATGCTGTCTCTTTAAACCCAGTAATGACATCATTCATGATGAGTCACACGCCCACATAGTCAGTTGAGTTCGGCGAGAAAGAGACGTGACAGACGAAGGGGGAAGGTGTCTTTGGATGGAGACGATTAAGTGAATTAATAAAGTTTTTGGTGACAATCAGCTTTGAAATCAGCATATTTTGCGTCATGGTTTGCATATGATCACAAACAAAGTACTAGGGTAGTGAATTGATGTCAGCGTCATCTGGAAGCTAGCAAGGAAAGTTAGCCTACAAAGCTGGAAGCTTTGCATTGTAAAGTTTTCTAGCCTGTATGGACATTGTTTTGCAATAAGTAATTAACTGTTTCAACAATTCTACATGCCTTGTTGGATTATTCAAGTGTGTTAACTTCTGTGCAGCATGAGTTGGGAGCCAACATGTTGCATGAATGGTGCGCTCCCGCTAAGGGGACATCGGCTGCACTGATAGGCAGACTTGATCCTCTCAATCAGTATACGACATGAGACACATTTGAGAGAAGTAACGAAAGTAACAACAATTCTACTATAGAACTGTTTTTTAATGTTCGAGTATCAAAAAAGTACTGAAGTTTTGATATACTGTGTAATACTAATTAGCATTAGTGTAAATCAGTAGTTTAATCTCTGAGATTTGTTCTGGTAACAAACCCAAATGTTCCCCAAACATTTCTGGTAATTTTTTTTGATATTGTCTGTTTTTGAACAGAAACAAAATATACCTAAAGATTACAAGATTCCTGTGACATACATTCCGAAAGAAGTGGTGAGAATTTTTTTTTTCTTATTCAATAGCATGATTACTCTATTATTATAACTTCAAATGTTTGTATTCCTTAGAAAATATATTTGAATGTCTATGTTGCCTGACTTTTTTTTTTGAGGATGGACTAAAATTTGTAAATTTCAAAACTGTCCAGTAGCCATGATTCTTATTTCCTGATTCTTGTTTTCTTTTTCAGGGTGGAATGTGTTGGGTATCGCTAAATGTTTTCCACTTGGAACTCAGTTTACGAGGATTAGCAGACAAGTTTGGAAACATTTCGTCCAACAAATATAATATCAGCATATTGATCGAAATGCTGAAAGAGACGCGATATCACATGAAGAACTTGGTATGTTTTGAGCTTTGGTTCTAATACTAATAATGTAACTGCGTTAGCTCCTATGATAGAGCAATACAAGAGACTAGAATAAATTAATAAAACAGGTTTACACAAGTTCTTAGCACAAATAGCCCAGTGACCACATCATCTTACATCTGAGTTGTCTGCAATAATGTCTTGTGAGGACTGGGTCATCTGTCAGGTAGAGCAGGTATTCACAAAGGGACCTGGGGATCTCTCGTAGTCTCATGAGAGTAAAGCAATACGTTCATAATGTACAGTAGGTGTAATAAATTGTTAAAGCATATTACTCATATTATTCTGGCTAACTTCGCTCATAATCCAATAGGAATAATTAAGTCCCCCTTGTCCTGAATAAAAAGACAAGATTGAAGTTACTTAATTTTGGGCTCAAACATCCGTCCAGCTGTGTTCTTTGAACTATTTGCTGCATGGCTAAATGAGAGCACCATTGGGGGACAAAAGTTAAAACTAACGTGTTTTATGTTTTGAATTTCACATCATTGAGATTATTATTCCCCTTTTGTATCCTCAGGAGGCGATCACGTACGATTTTGAGTGCCACTACAGAGACGAGCAATGGCAGACAGGACACTATTTTCATTTTGTTGAAGATTTTCTAAAAACGGCCCGTTCGAATAGAGATTCGCCAGAAGAATGTGATCCACCTCCCTGTCCCACAACAACAAAGGCAGCAACAACTACAATAACAACACAATACCCTACATCAGGTAAATGTTGAAGCATTAAAAAAAAAAATGTAAATGTTATCCAACGTCATTGTTGCATTCGCTCATATTCAGATAGTGGTCAATGCTGATATGGTCATAGGAGTCAGCTCTCAGTTTCAATCTTGCTAAGTAGTCTAAAATATCCTGTGGTGGTCTTCATATGCCAGAATTAAAAACTACTATTTGTCTTCTTTGGTGGATGGGCACCGGTACCTCTCCATTAAATTATTTCTCTTGTGAACAGACTTTCTTTTTAGTCAGATCTCTTTTTAGTTTTTTTTGTGTATTTTTATCTGTGTCCTATACAGAATATTCTCTCTATTTTCTGTTCAAAGAACTTCACATGACAAAACATGAAATGTACCAGGTGCTTGGAAGGTCCATTGTGACATTAGTGCTTCAGCCGAGTCACAGAACCAAAGGAAGATGTCCCCCGATGGACCCCTTGAAAGGGAAGAAAAATACTGAAACCGCATCTGTGATGGGACTTTTTAGCACACTCTCGCTCTTGCTGTCTGTGATTTATTTGCTGCAAAGAGTAGCAATGTAATGCAACCCGTCAAACTGGTGTAGGCCTACTACAGTAGCTACCTTTCCTCAATTCAGGAAGTAAACCAAATGTAAATTCAATAATAGAAAAAAGGGCACTTTAATGACTTCTCAATAAACAGAAGTAGAAGCTATTTTTACATTTCTGAATTTTTAATTTAATATTGAGTCAAAAGGGATCATTCCCTTCATTTGCTAATTGGTTAAAAGCCTGTGTCACTTGATTTATGAAGAGTCTGCAGGGGGAATGGCATTCATCCTTAAAGGCTTTAGTCTAGTCACATTACAGTTCTTGTCTAAACTCATGTTTTATGTTCTTAATTTAGAATAGATTTTTGGTAGCACTTTACATTTCAGCTCGGTAATAACATGGTAATAAACATTTAATTGCTAGGTTGCCAATGTAGTTTCCTCCAAGTCCTTTCCTGACATCCCAACTAGCCTGTGGTGTGTTACCTGGAAACAGAGAGAACCCAGAATCAGTGCTGGAAAACATTACTCATTTCTCTTTAGTTCTACCGTTATCAGACCTGGGTTAAAATATGTGTATTTGTTATTTAAATATTATTTTCTGTGAGTATTTGAGTATTTTCAAATTCATAACCCAAAACATCTACTTTTATTTTAGTAGTTGAATGGTCATTTGTAAAAACCAAATAGTTGATGCACAAATACTCTGACCTCAAATTATTAATTATTTCAAATATTATTTTCAAATACCTGGGTTACATGCATGGGAGTGTATATGAGTCAATGTATTTGAGTATTTTCAAATACTTTCCAAGTGTATTTCCAAATATTTTCCAATATTCAACTACTTCTTTTTTTAAATAAAGGTTGTCTGAATACTTGTTTTGAAATGTATTGAAAAGTAATTGAAATACCTAAAATAGTATTTGAACCCAGGTCTGAATGTTATTATAACAAAAAATGTAGGAAGAGTAAAGCAAGCTACTTTTGTCTTTCTATGTGAAGGCTATTTACATAACCTAGAACATTTGGAGGATGTCAAACACTGTCAATTAGGCTACTAGCTATGTTGGTTGTTTTGATTTAATTTTGGCTCTAGGTTTAGGAAATGTCAGATACAGATGTTTAAAAAATGTAAAATACTCCAGCTTGAACTTCCCTAGATAAATCAGCACCACCCACCTTGTCAGCACTGCACAACTATTATTGGCCGGCACTTAGTCTGTCTGCATGCTGCTTTCTAGTGATCTAGTTCCCTCTCCTTCACCTGGAATCCATAAAGTATAACACATCCTGCTAGCTGGTAGCTAAATAGCCAAACTAGCATTGCATCACAGAATCAGAATCTCCTTTATTCGCCAAATACATTTGCATGTACAGGAATTTGACTTGGTGAAATGGTGCTGCCACAACAGACAGACAATAAACATACAGACAACATATATAGACACAGACCTTACACAATCCACATACAGTATGTGCACTATAAAACTGAAGCTCAAAACTACAGAATACACTGTAAAACACTATAATCTACATTATAACGTATGCATGTAGAGATGTATAAAATAAAATGTTTACAAGATGATGCGCAATGGGGGAAATATATATGCAACAGTCAACTGGTGGCAGAGCACAGAAGGCAGAGCAAAGAGCAATGTGCAGTTGTAGGATAAAAGTGCAGGGTGAAGAGTCTGTGGATTAATATTGCAGAGTGCAAAGTCCATGAGTGAGAAGATCATCGTGGACCAGGTAGCCATGGTAAGGGCCACGGCGTGGGGGAAGAAGGAGCTGTTCAGGTGGCGCAAGGTTTTAGTCGTGATTGACTTTAACATTTTTACAGAGGGGAGTCTTTGGAATAGTGGGTGACCAGAGTGGAAGGGGTCGACGAAGACCTTTCTGCACACTTCCTCGCCCTGGAGTCGTGCAGGACCTCGATGGAGGGCAGGTGGCAGCCGATGATCCTCTTAGCAGACAGGACAATTAGTTGAAGTTTGCCCTTGGACCGGGCAGACGCATTCCCGAACCAGACAGTGATCGAGGAGGTGAGGCTGGACTCACTGATGGTTGCGCAGAACCGGATCAGTATTGTCTGTGAGAGTTTGAATTTCTTCAGTTGGCACAAGAAGTACATCCGCTGGTGTGCCTTCTTGGTGATTGCTGTGATGTTGTCCTCCCACTTGAGGTTGTGGGAGATGATGGTCCTCAGGAATCTGAATGACTCAGCCGTACTTACAGCTGAGACGTTGATTTCAAGGGGGATAGGTGGTGAGGGATGCTTCCTGAAGTCAATCACCATCTCCACAGTTTTGAGTGTTCCGCTCCAGGTTATTATATCACACGGTATAAAACTATTTTTACACAATGCCATCTCATTGCTTCTAGTTCACTAGCATCACAACAACATTAGGCAAGGATTTATGAAATTAATTAATTGTAGTGGAGCAGGTGGAGAGTGTCAAGTTCCTTGGTGTCCACATCACCAACAAACTATCATGGTCCAAACACACCAAGAAAGTCATGAAGAGGGCACAACAACGCCTTTTCCCCCTCAGGAGACTGAAAAGATTTGGTATGGATCCCCAGACCCTCAAAAAGTTCTACAGCTGCACCATCGAGAGCATCCTGACCGGTTGCATAACCGCCTGGTATGGCAACTGCTCGGCATCCGACCGTAAGGTGCTACAGAGGGTAGTGCGTATGGCCCAGTACATCACTGGGGCCAAGCTTTCTGACATCCAGGACCTATATACCAAGCGGTGTCAGAGGAAGGCCCAAACAATTGTCAAAGACTCCAGTCACCCAAGTCAGACTGTTCTCTCTGCTACCGCACGGCAAGCGGTACCGGAGTGCCAAGTCCAGGTCCAAAAGGCTCCTTAACAGCTTCTACCCCCAAGCCATAAGACTGCTGGACAATTAATCAAATGGCCACCCGGATTATTTGCATTGACCCCCCCCCCTTGTTTTTACACTGCTGCTACTCGCTGTTTATTATCTATGCATAGTCACTTTACCCCTACCTACATGTACAAATTACCTTGACTAACCTGTACCCCCGCACATTGACTCGGTACCGGTACCCCCTGTATAGATACTCATTATTGTTGTTTTATTATGTTACTTGTTTTATTTTTTACTTTAGTTTATTTAGTAAATATTTTCTTAAAACTACATTGTTGGTTAAGGGCTTGTAAGTAAGCATTTCACAGTAAGGTATTCGGCACATGTGACAAATACAATTTTATTATTAAACCGTAGCTCTCATCAATACATACTGTAGCTAGCTACTTGAACACAGCATGCACTAAACACAGACTGAGGAAAGAGAGCAAGAGCGCATGCTCTGTTGATTTTACATTCCTGTAGACTATATCAATCCATCGCAGAGCGATTGTCAACCACAAAAAAATAACAAAGAGCAACGAAAAGGGAATTTTGGTGAAATTTAGGAGGTGAATGTAACGAGTATAATAACATTGTTCTATTGTCTTTCACCAGAATCCTTTTATTGACGGACTTTGTTATTTTTCATGTCTTCAGCTATGTGATAGATTGCTTTGGTCTGCTATAATGTCAGATCAATGCGTGCGTGTGCTCTCTGCTCAGTGTGCTGCTTGTGCTTAATGCTTGCTGAGAAGCGGTAGCTAGCTAGCTATGTATTTATGGGACAAGTGCTCCAGTATATTATTGTTTAAAAAGTGTAGAACACATAAAAGTGCATGTGCAATTCATAAAAGTTTCCTAATGTTGTAGTGACACGACTGAACTAGAGGTGATTATAGTTAGTATTAGTATTGTGTAAAAAAAAAATTCTACCGTGTCGTTTATGCAATGCTAGGTTGGCTATTTGGCTAGCTAGCTAGCAGGGTGTTTTATATACACTTGCATTTCAAGTGGAGAACTGGATCACTAAAAAGCAGCATGCAGGCAAAGTGCCGGTCAGCCATACACCTGCAGTACACCCTTTGCAGGGGTCTTCCAATAATTTTCTGACAAGGTATGGTTGTGCTGATGTAGCTAGCTAGCTAACGTTAAGCATGGGGAGAAGGGGAGCTCAAGCTGGAGTATTTCGATTTTTGGAGATATCTGCTATTTTCTGAAACCTTGAGCCTCAAATCATATCAAACAATGTAGCAAGACAACATAGTAACGTTAGCGTAATTGACCATTTTTGATCCTGAAATAATTTGAGGTGGTCCCAATGACATTTCCTGCTAGGTTATAGGGGGTTAATGTAAATAGCCTACACATACAAAAAAAAAAATAGCTTGTTTAAAGGTGCAATCTGTGATTGCTAGATCCATTTTTGGACTTTTAAATTAATGATCTATACCCATTGATTCTTGAAGAATGTACTGTAATTTAAAAATGCCTTATGAATTTAGTTCAACTGTTGTACCCCATCAGAACCCAAACTGTCACTCCCTGGCTCTGGGACTCTATATGTTGAGCCAGGGTGTGTTCATTCTATGTGTTCTAT